AAACATATTTTTTATTTTTACATAATTTTATATTTAATATTAGTATTGTTTGAGAGATGTCGTCAGGCTAATTTTAAAAATATAAATGTTATTAAAAAAATTATATATTTTAAAAATTATGATATTTTAAAGTTTTGAAGATCAAAATAAATGTCACTTGATCATGTTCTTATATAGACAATCATAAATGATGAACAATTATTGTTTGAAAGATAATTCTAACTATTAATAATTTAATAGCACTTGAAAGTCTGGGAAGTGGGTTTGGCGGCTTTTTCAGTTAAAATAATTAATGAAGAAAAAATAGATTAAAATTATCAATAAGACAAAATATCACATCCATATCACAATAATTTTACTTTTTCTCATAACCATCAAGTCAATTACAAAATAAATCAACTATATTTCCAAATACAATTTTTTAACCAAATTAAAATAAATATTAAATCAAAAAACCTAAAAAAAAATTAAAATAGCCAAATTCTTAAACCAACTCTATAGTGAAATATAAATGGGTCATTTTCTGATAAATTCTCTTTGTAACTGTTTTATTCCATCTAATCTATATTCTTTTTGAGTGTTCCATTAACTCATGTTTAATGTAATATGACCAAATCATCTTTTTAATTTTTCTACATGTTTCTATTTTGAAATTAATACATAACAATAGTTCTCATTTTATAGAGAAATTTTTTCTCTCATTCTAAAAATAAAAATATTTCCCTTATTCCATGAAGAAAATCTCTGCATTATTCTAAGAAGAAAATATCTCATGCATTCCATGTAGAAAATTTCAAATTATGAACTTTAAACATTTTTATAATTTGAAAATTTTAAAAATAATGCAACAAAAAATCTGAATGAAAATCAAAATACAATGTGAATGTTCATAATAAACAACAAATATACAACTAACATTCGAAAAAATAAAAAATTCATACTAAAATACAATGTGAATATTCACAATTTATAATTAACATATAACTAGCATTGAAAAAAAAAAACTCATATCAATGCAAACATTTATACTGTAACGTGAAAACATAAAATAAAATTAAAAAAGTGAAAATCGACTATTTCAATTGGTCAATGGTAACAAAAATGATCGTTCAAGTAACAAGTATAGTAACAAAAATAATAAACACACAATCAACTTTCGAAAAATCAAAACTTATACCAAAATATAATGTGAATGTTCACAATTTACAATTAAAATTGTGAACAAAACTTATACCAAAATATATATACACCTAGTTAAAAAAAAAAAAATCATACTAATGTGAACATTTACACTACAACGTGAAAACATAAAATAAAATTGAAAAAAATATAAATCAATTATTTCGATTGTTCAATGGTAGTAAAAATTATTGTTTAACCAACAAGCATGGTAAAAAAATAACAAAATAAAACTAACTTTCGAAGAAATTTCAAAAAAAAACTCCTACCAAAATACAATATAAATATTTAAAATTTATAATTAATATACAACTAGCCCTTAATAGATATCAATAATAGACATAAGGGTATATTAGTCTAACAAACAATATAAATTAAGAAAAAAAGATCTCATAGAATAAAAATATAAATACATAAAACTAATTAACCTATAATTTTCTGTGATGAACTTATTAAGTTAGAATACCTCTAAATAAAATTTATCAGTAAAAAACTCAATATAAATCTATAAAATGAGTCTTTCGGTAATTGCGTCATTAACTTTTCACTAACTGGACCCCGATTTTGTTGGGTGAATAACTGGACCCCGTTAGCTATAGTTAAGGTCAAGTTAAAGTTGATTTGACTACACCTAAAATTTTCCCGTCCTAATGTAATCAATGCCACAATATGAATTGGCTTTTTCTTATTTATTTATTTATATATATTTTTTGAAAAATACTAAAAACTTATTTTTACAGATTTTGAATTTATCTCAAATGTATTTATGTGATAAAAGTTAAAGTAATGAAATGTAAGATCTGCATATAAAGTAAATTTGAGTCACTGATTTCCTTTTCTAGGTAAATTTTGGGTGAATAAGGATAGATTTGTAATATTGTTCAGCTTGTTTAGTTTAGCTTTTTAGAAAATTTTATTTTTTTATTTTTCGTATTTTTTTTGTTTTTAAAGAATTTTTTAATATTTTAAGTAATTTTTTTAATTTCTAGACAGACCTAACATAAATTCACTTAAAAAGTATATAATATTTGCTAAGAAAATATTTAAAAAATTCATTAAATACCAAGAATATGAAAATACAGCACATTTTCGTATTTTTATATATTTATTAATTTCTTAAAATATTTTTTCACAAATATTTTAAAATTTTAAAAATATTCACCAAAAATAAAAAAAATATATATGAAAAATTTAAAATTTAATTTTTAATTTTAAAAAAATTGAATTTAAAAAATTAAAACCAAACACACGAATTTTTTTTTTTTAGTAAGATTTTTTATTTATTTTTTATTTTTTGCATGCATTTGCTTTGACGTTAAAATCTAATAAATAAGTCCAAATATACTAAAACTTAGCTCGTTAGCATGAGAAAATTACAAAAAAAAAAAAATCCTAATGTTTAACTCAGATAACAAATTAAACCCTATAATTTTAATTTGAACAAATTAAATCCTAATCTTCTAAATTGGCTACAATCTTATCCGTCCAATTCCGTTTACTTGACCAAGGGATTTTTTTTTTTTTTTACAACACATGTGGCATTTGCTTATTTGTTTTTCTAATGTAATTACAAATCCAATTTTAACCTTCAATTACAAAGTTATAATTAGGCATATGATATATCCTTTTTAGGGTGTGTATTATTGAAATTTTTCCTTCATTCTTTTATTGTATTGGAATTTTTTTTTCCTCTTGCATATTTAAAAAAAATCAGTTATTCCTGAAAATAACTTAATTTTCAAGCTATTTAACAAATTAACCAATTTTTTTTGAAAACACGGATTGAAGATGCTATTTGATTGTTTAATGGGTCATTGCCAATGTGACATCACGAAATCATATCTTCAAGATACAATTTCATGGCCAGTTGAAATCACCTCTTGAATCATACCATGTTGCAAGATAGATAAATTTTATTTATTAAATAATTAAAATTAATAAGATTTCATTACATTTAAAAAAAAAAAAAAAAATTGCACTTACATTAAAGGTGAAATTTGTTTACACAATTCGAACAATACGCAAAGTTAGCATACCCATTAGGCTTCGTTTGGGAGCAGATTAATTTGGTAATTTTTTGGTTATTTGACTAAAATATGAGCTAAAAAAAGCTAGTATGTTTGGGATGACTTTTTAGTTTTTTACGAAAAGATGTGTAAAAAGTATAGAGAAAAAAGAATCTTTGACTTTTTGGTATGAGTTGTTGGCTTTTTGATTTTTTTAGTAATTTTTTGACTTTTTAACTAAACCGACCTATTGCCAAACGAAAAAAAGAAATAATTTAGTGTGATGAAAAAAAGAAAAAAAAAAAAGATGAGAAAATTGGTTAAAAATCCACTCAAACAATTGTCTAAGGGAATAGGTTCAAGGGATATTTTTTTTTTTTGTTAACGGGAGGTCTATACTTTGTAAAATAATTTGGTGAGAAATATTAGAGAATATTTTGTTTTCAATTTAATCCATTGACTTTTTTTTATCAACAATGTTTGACATCTCTTTTTTTGAGACCTCCATAACTACTTTTGGATTTTAACCATTGATGGTGTAAACCCCACACATACATGAATAGGTCTCACACATACCATGGTTGAAATCCAATGAGAGTGGTTGGGGTCCCCAAAAAAAAGGAAGTCCCAAGCATTTTTCTTTTTTAATATGTTTGACTTTTTGTTGACTATCTATTCAAATTTTTTTTTCTATCTATTAAAATTATTTATATTTGTTTAAATTTTTTGTCTATCTGTTTAAGTTCTTTGTCTATTTGTTCAAAATTTTTGCTTATTTGTTGAATTTTTTTAACCTATCTATTTAATTTTTTTAAATTTATTTTTTTCTATCCGTCCAAATTTAGGCCTAGTTGGGATAAGTGCACTTTTTGACTTTTTATGAAATATGAGTTGGCTTTGGGTTGGGTTTGAAGTGCTGTGTTAGAGAGGTGATGTGACTTAAATAAGATGATGTGACTTAAATATGATAGTGACTTTTTGACTTTTTATCTTTTTTCAATCATGTCAAACTTGGCATTACTATTTTTAATATTTCTCTCGCTATTTGTTTCTCTCTCAATCCGTTAATTTTTTGAATCTATTTGTTAAGATTTTAATCTATTTGTGAAATTTACTGGGCTTATTTTTAATCTATTTGTTAAATTTACTAAGTTTATTTATTTATTTTTTTTATCTGTTCAATCTACAATTTGTTTAGATCTGTTCTGAGAAAGACTAAGGCTAAGTTTGGCATATTCAAAATAATCATTTTTTTATCTTTTTATCTTTTTTCTATCACATCACCTCTCTATGTTTTTGCACATCTTTTCGTGAAAAGACAAAAAATATATTTATTTAGGTCATCCCAAACAACCCCTAAATACAGAAAAAGAAAATAGCAATAGTACAAAAAAAATAAAAATACAGTTATAGTTCGTTCAATCAACGAATCCGGATCCTCGACCGCCCTATCCGGCAGCCCTACCCGGCAGCCCCCCAAAACGACGTCGTTTTGGGGGTTTTTTGTTTTTTCTTTTCTTCTTCTTCGTTCTTGCTTTCTCTCTCTTCGAAGAAACCATAGGGAAGGGAAGAGGGAGAAGAGGGAGGAAGGAGGAGGCTGCGAGCTCGCCATCGCAGCTCGTCGCCTCGCCGCCGGCCGTCGCAACCGTCCGATCGTCACCCGATCCAGCTCGTCGCAACAGCTGCACCGCCGTCGCCTCCGCCTCCAGCCTGCCTCCGCCTCCGGTGATTATGGCCCCCTCCAGTCCGGCCCACCGGCGGCTCCCTCTTCTTCTCCCTTCCTCTCTCTTCCTTCCTCCCTCTCTTCCTCTGCGTTTTTTTTTTTTTTGAAAATTTACCCCCAAAACGACATCGTTTTGGAGGCTGCTGGGTAGGGCGGCCGAGAATCCGAACTCTTCAATCAACACACTGGTTGAGAAAAATTCACCCCTTTTTCTTAATTTTTTTTTTTGGTTCCCATCTCTTTCACACTTGATTTTTTATTTTTATTTTTATTTTTTTATATAGCTTCATTTCTCTATTTCTTAACTGTTTCTCCATACATTGCCAAAAAAAAAACAAAGAGAGAAGATTGAGGAACCTTCAATACAAGACCCAGTACATAAATCAGTATAAAAGTGTGATTCACAGATCTATAGATTTGAGACTTCCATCACCATATAAATTGTTCTATTTCTTTCAGATCGTCATTGTTTCGGTTTGGTCATACCGATCGTCACCGATATTCCCTTCGCCATCGGAGGATTGGACTTTGGCAAAGAGAGAGGACTCGATTGTATGGAAGAGGCGGAGATGAGAGAGAGAGAGAGAGAGAGAGAGAGAGGAGGCGAGGTAGAGAGAGAGAGAGAGAGAGAGAGAGAGAGAGGAGGCGAGGTAGCAGTGGCGGAGCCGTAGGGAGTCCGACGACGCTTCTTCCTCCGTTTCTCCATCTTATCTACGAAGTCGATCTCAACAGTGCCGGATGCAAAATCGCAACGGCGACGCCATCGCTGATGGGTGGAGACGAAACGGCGACAAACGCAAGGGAGAGAGAGAGAGTGGGAGAGAGTAAAGGGAAGAGAGAGATGAGTGAGATTGTGAGGGTTACTAGGCTATATATTGTCTGGCCGGCGCTTGCCTCCAGTCCACCCATTGGGCGGTGGATTCAGTCCGGCCCATTAAGTTTATTTTTGGATCTCTTTTTAATAATTTAAATTATTTGAGTATATTATTCTTGTAAAAAATCACGTCGATCGAATAACGGATATTATTATCTATTTAGATCATTTTTTTATGAATTGTTAATTTTTTAACTGTTTATTTTTTTCCAGACAAAAGTAATCGAATATATAGTATCCGTTATTCGATTGACGTGTTTTTATATAAGAATAATGTACTTAACAAATCTTAAAATATAAACGGTTCTGATTATCGAAAAGATGCCCAAAAATGAGCCCAATGGACTGAACTGGATCGGACTATCTTAGATCTGGACTGAAAATAGTCCGGACCCATATTATATATATATATGGATATTTTGTTCATTTCATCTAAATTTGTCTTTATGGACAATGTATTTTAAAATATGAACCAAACAAAATATAAATTTAGATTTATGGATCGAATGCCCTAAAAAAAAATTATGCCCAATTTTTGACATAACTCAATGAGTATACAAAGTTAGCTAACTGTGGGGGTGTTTGGGAAGAAAAAAAATAGTCCAATTTAGGCTAAAATTCACAAAAAGATAAAATAGATTAAAATAGCTAATAAGACAAAATATCACATCAAACCTATAATCATTTCACTTTTTCTCTCACAAACATCACATCCAACCACAAAAAATTTCAATCATCTTTCCAAACACAAAAATTTTAGCCTACTAAAATAGCTAAAAACTAAAATAGCCTACTAAAATAGCCACTTCCCAAACGAGGCCTGTTTGAATCATGTTGAAAATTCCAACCTTTAATGCAACATGAATTTTTCTTTTATTATTTTTTATCAACGACATGGAATGAATCTGAATCATGTATTGAATAACAGTTTACAACATGGAATTTGTGGGGACATAATCTTGAGTTGTTCACGTAGCTTAGGTCGTTAGTTGAGGTGTGATGGGGGTGATTCTGATTAGCCAAGGTGTAGTTAGACTACATCTGAATCTGTGATAATTAGATGGATAAGATTCCTAGATGTCGATAGGCTCTCTGTTTGGATAAAGTTGGACTCTTGAGTGAGTTCATCTTAATCCAAATAGAAGTCCGAGATAAGTGTTATTCCTGAAAGGGATAGAATCCTATGAAGTAAGACTTCCAGAGAAAAGTGGACACCAAAGATTATATAAAGAAGGTACCCCAGTGGGTCTAAGGTATGTTTTTGACTGAGAGTTGTTTATGTGTGCTGATATCTTTGTGAGATTCTTGACTTACTTGATCGTCAGAGTGTCCCTGAGTGAATAAGCCACCGGTCTTATTGTCTTTCTGTGTGCAGGTGTTGGGTTTTTCTATTTCTACATGTACGCTTTTGGCTTAATTCCTAAGATCTCAGCGAAAAGATTCAATTTGGTTGTGATGTCAAAATTCAACACCCACAGAATTGCATTCAATATTTCATACAAACTAACATGTTCAAGAGTTGATTTCAACTGGCCATGAAAATCACATCTTGAAGATATGATTCCATGGTGCCATGTTGTGCATTTCACAATGAAATCACATATGCCTTTTTTTTTTTTTTGAGGACAAAAATCACATATGCTAGATGCTATTTCAAAGTATTATTTAGAAGATGCAATTTTATATGCCACATCAACTGCACCAAGTTGGTCATGTCATCATGAAATTGTATTTTCAATGTGTGATATCAAAAACATAGTTAGTTTCCCAAGTAGTTTGAAAAGTAAGTTAGTTTCATAATAATTTGATTTTTTTGAATATTAAAAAAAATCTACTTGTCACATGTGACATAATTTTCATCAATTTAAAAGGAGAATTTATTAGAAAATTCTCTTCCAAGTACTTATATCACCATTAGTTCATAAGATATTCTTATATTCCAATAAGTCTTATTATTTTAGATATTTGATCCATCAAATCATAATTCTCATATTTAAGATAATTTATAAACAATTTTACCTTTGCAAATATTTTTGAAACCTTAGCAACTTGGTGTGCACTATTTTCGACTATTTTGAATGCTTCATGATATGAACATTCACATTAAATATATTTGACTGTGTAAATGTTCACACAGTCAATGTGAACATTAATGCGCATTTTACCCTGTTATTATTATGAGTATTTTAGTACCTATGTTAGCTACAAAACTTATTAATATATAAAAAAATAATTGAGACTAAGCGGAATATAAGTAGATAAAGAACGATTTATGAATAAATACCCATTTAAAAAGCAATTAGTATGAGGAGATAAAGTGTAAAATGGGCTAAAATTACAAGAACACATTTGGATTATTTTTTAAATAAAAAAGGTATAACGACTCTAGTTTGGACCCGACCCGTTTATTGTTTTGGATCTGGAATTCTCTTGTCTTATTGGTTGTTCAACTCCTTATTCTTCTTGTACTTCATTGAGTTTGGCTATTGGAGTATCATTCTTATGTTCGGAATAAGTTGATAGCTTGTTTTTTAAAGAGTTGATTGCCCAGAATTTTGTCTATTCGCTCGAGCAATACTTCTTGCGCTCAAGCGGTCTTTTACAGTCTGCAAACTACTAAGAGTTTGATACCAACGCGCGAGCAATGCTTCTTGCACTCGAGCGAACTTTAGCAAGTATGAACTGTAGGGAGGCGTGCATTATGCGCTCGAGTGACTATTCTTGCGCTTGAGCGGTGTCTTCGTTGCATTTGGTCACTCGAGCGACCATTTCTGCACTCGAGCGATCTGCGCGTTTATCAGTCCGAAAGGGGTCACTTTTGAGTCATTTTCTCATCTCTCTCTCTCTTTCTCTCTCTAAAACTCTCCAAAACCTAGATCTACTTACTCTCTCTCTCTCTAGAAACCCTCTCTAAAACTCAAATACATCTTGATCAGTTGATTTCTACACCATAGTCCCTTTGATAAAAAGGTAGAGCTCACCTAGAGCTTCGTTTTGATTGGAGCAAAGTTCATTTTCGACTTCGTCAAGTTTCAACTCTTGTTCTTCTCGATTCTTGTCTTTGAGGTAGGGATTACTTTAACCTTTTTTATAATTTTTAACTTAGTTATTTGTTTTTTTTAAACAAGATAGTGATTTGGGAATTTTTAGATAAAACCTAGGGTTTTGGTTTTGAAACTAAAAGAGGTGTTTTAGAAATAGGCTTTTGTATATGATTGTGACTTTGTAAAAATGGTTGGGTTGTGATTGATGGTGGATTTTTTACATGAGAATTGAGTTTTAAAGAAAAAAAAAAGAAAGAAAAGGATTTTGCCCTAAAATGTGAATGCTGGATTTCGTAAAGAGGAAATGGAATTGATGTGAGTTTTATGAAATTGGAATGATGATGATGATGATGGTGGTGGTGGTGGAGTTGGATATGGATTATCACTCTTAATTGGAAATGTTGAAAAGTATATCTGCGTTGAAACTTAATTATTTGTTTAGAGATATCTGTTTTGGGCTATTGGTGGAGGATAACTATGATTGTTGTAAAAATTGCATGAGAATTAGGTGACTTGAAACTATTTTCTCATCCATTTGCATTGAGCATTGTAACATATTTAACACATTGAAAATGTTGTTGTTTTGAGAAAAAAATGATAAATACCTTTGTAGCGATTCCGATTTTGACCCGTCTCTTATGGTGTTCCGTGCTCGGGTTGGTATGGTTTTGAACGGTGTTACGTATCATAGTTTCCCTTGTATTCCCCTTATTTTTGGTTATTGGGTTATAATGGGGTGTTTGGAACAAGTAATGTCTCCAAACCTTTAGATGTAAATTTAACTCGAATTGTGCCTTGCAGAGTTGTATCAGAAGTTAATTCTTTCATGTTTTGCCACTTCGCTGAGTATGCCGGGGGTCGAGTCACCCTATACATCTTACGATGGTCGAGCTGTCCAGTCAGCTCGTCGAAGCAAAAATGCAAAATGCGTTTGAAGAGAAGAGAAGAAACCCGCGGCGAAAAGACGATCTGCTCAAAAGTCTGTGAGAAGTATCCACACCTATTTGTTGATATTTGAGACTTATGTTGAAAACCTTATATATGTTGCAATATGTATGAACATCATATATGTTTTGGAGAATTGAACTGTAATAGTTGGTGTTGAAAAACTCTGTTTATCTTGTTACAAGTCTGGATGATATATGATTTGATTTACGTTTAGTGGTTGTTGGTTGATTTTAAATTTCAGGGATGAAATTCCTTAAGGGGGAGAGATTATAACAATTCTAGTTTAGACCCGACCCATTTCTTGCTTTTGAATATGAAAATCCATGTCCTTAACTGTTGTTCATTTCATTTCTATCTTGTTACTTATTGAGTTTGGCTATTGCGAGTTTTGGTTGCGTTTGAAATAGGTTAGGAAGTTAGTTTTCAATGAGTTGTTGCCCAGATTTTTTCCTGTTCGTTCGAGTGGTCTTTTTTGCACTCGAGTGGTCTTTTATGACCTGCAAAACCACTAGAAGTGTGACATTTTCGCTCGAGCGGTCCTTCTTGAGCTTAAGCGGCCTTGTGTAGGTCTGAACTTCTGGGGGGGTCATTGTGTGCTCGAGCAGTGGTTTTGGTCACTTGAACGATGTCACTTATTGTATTTTACGCTCGAGCGGTGTTTTGGTCGCTAGAGCGGTCTACGCGTATATCAGTCCGAGAAAAGGCCATTTTAAGTCATTTTTTCATCTCATTCTCTCTCTAAGCATTTCAAAGCCCTAAATCCACACACACTCTCTGTCTCTAAGTTCTTACCTTCTAGCACCAAATACTCTCAATTTGATGGTTTCCTCACCCTAGCCCTTTGGAGTAAAAGATTAAGCATGTCGAGAGCTTCGTTCTAATCGGAGGAGTTAGTGTTTCCGGCTCTGCCAAGTTCTACCTTTCGCTCTCCCTTGTCTTCTACTTTGATGTAGAGATTTCTTTGACCTTTAATATGATTTTTAGCTTAGTTATTTGCTCTCTGAAATAGGCTAGTGATTTGGGGATTTTGGGAAAACCTAGGGATTGATTTTGAAATCAAAAAAGGAGTTTTCCAAATGGGTTCTCGAAAATAGTTGAGGGGATGTGTTTATGGTTAAGATATGTTAAAATGGTGGACATCCTTTCTTAAAATTGATTTTTTTTTTTTAAGTAAAGGGGGTTTTGTTCTAAAGTTTGGAATAT